ATGAGGCGGGGTGGCTGGAAGCGAGAGAAGGGGTGCCGGGCTTATTGCACCCCCCAGGACCCCCAGGATCCTCCCCCTCCCTCGAGGGACCCTATACCGCCTGCCCCCCCCGCCGAACACGCTGCTGTTGGTGGGCGGTAAATCCCGGCGTGGATCCCTGGATCGGCTGTCCCCAAAGAGGCCCAGCCCCCGAGCCGGACAAACAGATTGAGGGAAACATCGCGGGGCGAGAGGAGGCGTTCGTCAGAGGAGGGTCGTTGCTGGAGGTAGGCGACTTGACGGGCGCTAACGGGACATCCCGCCGTCCTTTGGCTTCTCTGCGGGCCTCTCTCTGTGATGGAACTTAGAGGGGGCTGTAGTCGGGGTTTGGGGCGGATCAAGTTAAAGGGTTGAGGGCTCTGGTGGAAGGTGAGGGGTCGATGGAGCATAAAAGAGAAAGGCGGAAGCTGAGACTCTGGGTGCGGGGTGTGTCACTTAGAAGCCCTGGGTCTGAAGCGCCTTCCAGGGAACCCCACTCTCCCTCTCGAAGTTCTGGAGCTTGCGGCCACCTCCGCACCTCCTCACTGAGAGCTCTCTTTCTGCTCTTCAAGGCTTTCTGCTCCCTCTGCTGGCCTTTCTGGCACATGACACCCTAGCGGTGTCGAGGCCCCAGAGGACACGGGGTGTGGGGGGGGCGGCGCGAAGGAAAAGGGGCCTTGACAGGCCCCCTCATCAAAGCCCAGGTGGGAGCCCAGGGAGGGAGATGTGTGAGCCCAGAGGAACGGGACACACTGGCAGAGGTTGCTAGTTAGAGTAGTGCCTAACTTGCAGGGAAAAGTACCTTGTCTCTTTACATTTATTTTGTCGTAGTGACCGGACATAGGGGAGGGGTCCCCTATTTCAGTTTCTCTGACCTTTTTGGGAAAAGGGGGAGGGGGAAGCATGGTGGGGGAAAGCAGTCTTCCCCTTTCAGTCACCCCTCAGGCATACTCCTATATCTTAGCTCTGCTTCCAGGGACCACCTCCTTGGATCTGGAAGGTCAGTGGGTTAACTCTTCAGTCTGAGGGTCAAGGGGGAAGGTGAAGTGAGAAGCCTGGGACTTTGGCCCAGACCAGTTATACTCAGAGGGTCAGGGGCCCAGCTCAGTCAGGCCAGAACAATGATACGGGAAAAGGAGGCACCCACATATGCTCCTGTCTCTGGCTTGTGCCCCTTCTTCCAGAGGAGCTCTGTTATTTACTTATTTATTTAGAGGTGGGGTCTCGCTATGTCGCCCAGCCTGGAGCACAGTGACTAGTCACAGATGCGATCACGGTGCTCTTCAGCCTTGAACTCCTGGGCCCAAGCAGTCCTCCCACCTCAGCCTCCTGAGCAGCTGGGACTACAAGCACATGCCCACATGCCCACCTATTTTTAAAATATTTTTATTTTTTACAGAGACAAGGCCTTGCTATGTTGTCCAGGCTGGTCTCGAACTCCTGGGTTCAAGCAATTCTCCCACCTCAGCCTCCCAAAGTGCTGGGATTACAGGCGTAAGCCACTACGCCCAGCTAAGATTTTGTTTGTGTCATTTATATCTATCAATTCACTAGACCAGAAATTAAAACAGAACACAATTTTAACACAAGAATATACAAGCACACATTCCATTAACAATGATGTCAGGAAAATGATGTAATTTCGTGTCACACAGCCTCTGGAAAACTCCACTGTACAATTTTGAGACAATGAGAATAAAAAGGGCAAATAACATGTCGATATTACTGTGAAAATACCTTGGACTTTGTGACACCCCTGAAAGAATTTTGGGGAACGCCCCCCCCAGAGGTCTCCAGACCACACTTGGAGAACTGCTACTCAGGACTGTCACCCTGACCCTTCTTCGTGACTTATTTTCTTTCTGAGTTTTATTAAGAAAGTATAAATGCTTATCTCCCCAGTGGGTCCAGTCCCCCAGGGAAAACCAGGGAGCCTCCTAGGCTCAGCACCTCTCTTTCCTGACTCCCATTTCTGAGATGCTCTTAAACATCCTCCCTCAGCGCCCTGTCCATCTCCCTCTCAGCCCTCCCTTAAAGCGCACCAACCGTCCCTACCTGGGGCCAGCCTGAGTGCCTGGCCCCAAGCCCACGGGGCCTTCTGTCTGCTTCCTCTCTTGAGGACTTTCTCTTCTTGGCAATTTTCTCTGCCTTCTCCCCTCCCTCCCTCCCTCCCTAGCCGCTGCTATCTTCTCAAAGACTTAGGCCAGGAAGTCATGCTTTCTGGGTAGACCCCTTCAGAGGAAACACTACCATCTCCCCACACGCCCATCAGCCTGGTATAAGCCAGTCTGAGTCAAGAAAGTGCCCGTTTGGGTCCCCTAGGGGTCAACTGAATCCTATTGCCAGGCAGTTGTGGGGTGGGGGTGTGGATCAGGAATAGGATGCCTCCAGTGACAGAGCCCTTTGCCTGGGAACCCTCAACCTCAATTCTTCACACCAACCCCCAGGGCTCTTGCTAGCTGCAGCCACAGGCCTCAACCACCATATCTGGCACATCCGTCTTGACCACATTGCCATTATGGTCGAGGTAGAGGAGAGAGAGTGGCCTTCGGGCAGTGGGGACACAGCAGGAGCTACTGGCTGGCCATGGGTTGTTGGCTTTGAGGAGGCTGAAGACGGCAGAATGGAAGGAAGCAGCAATGCCCGGACTGCCAGCCAGGTGGGGCGGACACTGACCGCTGCAGTAGTTCAGCTGGTACCCTTCAGGCTGCAGGATCCAGTCCCGCCAGCCCAGTTCCTGGAAGTCAACGTAATGGTCTCGCCTGCAACATAAGGGGGTCTCGGGCTCACAGGTAGGGGTCCTCCTCCTAGCCCGGCCTGTTCCAGCCTCATTGGCCCAGATCTTAAGTTCCAGGAAGGGCCGCTGGTGTCCTGCTGTGTCCAGAAGGCGTCTTGGTTGTCCAGCCACGGTGCCATTGCCTTCTAAGGGTCCGCAGTTTAACTGGAGTCTCAGGACACCAGACTCCTCAGCCCTCAGACCACTAGAGGGCAGCGTCAGGGCATGCCAACCTGGGGTAGTCATTCGGTGCTCAGCCAGGAGGGTGCGGGACCGGCGGGACCCTGGGCGCCTTCTCCGTGGGCCCTGTCGGAAGATCCTCAAGGAAAGAGTGCCAGGAAGGGAGGGGAGCATGTGCAGCCAGAGGCGGGCATGGTATGCGTGGTGGGACCGAGGAGTGGCCAGGTGGAAGGTGAGCGCTGAGCTGCAGGTTGGAGAGGAGGCATCTGCAGGAGCCACAGAAGGGCAGAGAGCGTGAGCAGGGATAAGGCCCTCCTGGGAGGCTTCCGGCGCCCTCCTCCCCCTTGCACCCACCTTTACAGACAGCAGGGACTGCCCGGTGTCCTCTGCAACCAGCCCTGTTCCAATGCCTCCTCCTGCCACACCCCACTCCCTCTGTGTCTTTTCTTTCTTTCTTTTTTGTTTTTTTTGAGTTGGAGTCTCACTCTGTCACCCAGGCTGGAGTGCAGTGGCACGCTCACAGCCACTGCAGCCTTGACCTGCTGGGCTCAGGCGATCCTCCTGCCTCAGCCTTCCAGGTAGCCGGAACTACAGGCATGCACTACCACGCCTGGTTAATTTTACGATTGATCGTAGAGACAGGTCTCTGCAAGTTGCCCAGGCTGGTCTCAAACCCTGCAGGCTCAGGTAATCCTCTCACCTCGGCCTCCCAAAATGCTGGGATTACAGAATTGAGCCACCGCGCCCAGCCTCCCTCTATGTCTTCTGCCAGGTTCCCCGTCTGCTTCCCTTTCCCTGTCTGCTCTTGCCTGTCTGTCCCTCACCCACCTGTGACGGTAGCAAAGCTGATGACCTCCTCCCCGTGCCCGGGAGCCACACTGCCCGGCTGCAGTCTCCGGAGGGCTCTGGTCAGCGCAGCCTGGGGTGGAGGGCGAGTTATCCTGGGACGGCTGGTCAGATGCAAACCCTCCAGGATCTGCCGCTTAGCTAATTCCAGCACCAGGGCTCGTTCTGCGTGGGGTGCCAGTGTGGGGCCCTCACAGGAAGGACACACAGATCCTGTCCCCCGTGCCCATGCCAGGGCCCCCAGCAGCACCAGCCAGAGCTGGACATCAGGGAGTCCCATGCTCTTGCGGAATGGACCTCCGCCGGCAGCCTCGAGTCTGATTGTGCGAGGGCCAGTGAGGGCACAGTGGCAGCAGATACCAGTGCCACACCTACCCCTGCTGAGGCTAGGGCCACCTGTCTTCTACTGCCTGGGACTCAGGAAGGCTGGAGGTAGACCATCTGATGGGTAGCTGTGTTTGGCCCTCACAGCTCATGTCTGGCTACTGACCCGGGCTCTTTAGAGCCAGCTGCCTGGGGCTCCCACACCTAGGGGTCAGCCGGCAGACCTACCCCCTGAGCCCCACGATTGGCCAGCTGTGCTGCTCATCAGGCCCCTGCAGGGGGTGGAGGTCCTCCCCCCCCAGGCTCAGATTTCACCATTTGGCTGTGGCGACTGGGCTTGAGGTAGGGGTATGGGGGTGGGGGGCCATGTGGACACGCATGATGCAAGAAAGAGGTTGATTTCACATGCTCAGGCCCCAAGGTCTGGCCCCAGGGGAGGGAGCACCATAGGAACCAGGTGGGGAAGGGTGGTTCCCCTACACCTTCAGCCTTCCCAGCCCCAACGCTCCTGCTGAGTTCTAGCAGTTCCCAGGAGGCAGCTGAGTTCCAGCAGTTCTTTCTCTGGGGGGGCTTCTGGGCCAGAAGGTGGATTCTAGTCTCTTTATTTCTAGCACTGGGGCTGGGACAGAGTGAGGGGTTGCGGGGATAGGAGCACGGAGTCCTCTGTTCAGGCCCAGGTGGCAGTGCCACGAGGCACGGAAGTCACCCCCTGACCCTGTCTGTGCTGGCCGCCCAGAGTCCAATTGGACTGGAGCACACCGTGGAGGGGGCCAGAGTGGGGGGGGGCAGGGAACATGCTGCTGATATCTGGGGAAACCCAGAGAGGTGGTGGTGGTGGTGATGCAATCTCACACAGGGCAGAGTTCATCGAGGCTGGCAGAAGGCATACCACTTGGTAGGGTCTGTATCCAGCTGCTGCTTCTCATTCAAGGGACGTGAGAGCTGCCTAAATTGGGGCATCCTGTTAATGGGGGCGGGAAAAGGGCTTCTGAGAACCCAGCACGGAACATTCAGCAATCCCAGTTTCCAGTCCTGCCCTCCTTCTTCCCGATCACGCTTCCCCACTGGCTTCAGAAGGGAGGGCTGAGGACCCTGCACCTTGAACTCCTGAGGGTGGGCCTCATGCTAGCTTTTTGTTTTTATTTTTATTTTTCTGAATTGGAGTCTCACTCTGTTGCCCAGGCTGGAGTGCAGTGGCACGCTCATAGCCACCGCAGCCTAGACTTGCTGGATTCAGGTGATCCCTCTACCTCAGCCTTCCAACCTGGAACTACAGGCATGTGCTGCCACACCCGGCTAATTTTTTTATTTATTGTAGAGACGAAGTCTCACCAAATTGCCCGGGCTGGTCTTGAACCCCTGGATTCAGGCAATCCTCTCACCTCCGCCTCCCAAAGTATTGGGATTACAGGCGTGAGCCATCATGCCCGGCTTCATGCTAGCTTTTCTCCTGATGCTCCAGTTTTCAGCTTCTTCTTAGCTTCAGAGGAGGAAGCTGTGGGGAGGTGAGTGTGGTTTGGAAATATGTCATGTGTCATTGTCACTCCACTTTGTTCATCTCCCCATATTCAGCGGCTAGGGGCAGTCCAGGGAGACCACCAGATCCAATCCCAGGGAGACAGTTTGCAGGGAGGGCTGGGCCTCAGTACCACCAGTGTCCACCATGTGGCAGTGCCGTGCCGCTGGACAGCAGCTGGCTTGTGACTGGGAGCTTCCCAGCGACACGGAAGAGGCTGCTCTAGGGAGGGGGTGATGAGGGGTGCCCCTCGACCTCTCACTCTGGGGATCCTACCTTCCCCATAGGAGACTGGGAGAAGCTGGTTCCTCTGCCCTTTCCTATCACCACTGCCTTTGCCAGAGAGCAGAGGCTGTCCTCAGGACCCATGTCCCTATTAGCATTGGTTTTGGACCTCATTGTGCTGACACGTGGCGGTGGAGCTTAGGGACGGGTGCCAGGCTCTTCCTAGAACCTCATTTGGTGGGGAGCGGGGAGAAGAGGCGATGAGATGCTTAGACCCTCCTGTCCACCCTGCATTTCTCCCCAGGCCTGACACTCGATAGCCCTCTGCCCAGTGCTCTCCCTAGTTCTGTTGGTGAGGCCGGCGAGTGATAGCCCTCTACCCGTCGGGGTCTGGACCGTGGGGTCTTCAGAGTGGAGGCGTCTGCCCATGGCGGTCCTCGGAGGGCTTACCTGTTGGTGTCAGGAGACAGAGTCAGGGGAAGCACCAAGAAGTGGCCTTGGGAGTCGCCGGCCCCACCTCTCCCCATCCTCTCTGTCAGGTGCCCCCAATTTCCAGCTCTGCCCCCTCCCTTGCCGCTGCGCCTGGCCTGGCCCTACCTCCCTACTGACACTTACGTCAGAGCCCGGCTATAAATATGCTTTTAGCATCTTAGTCACTTTTCCCAAGAAGTGCTCCCAGGTTATAAATACTCCAGCCATCTGCTTCACTGCCCGCCCTACCACCAACCTGGTTGGGGGCTGGGGGAGCGACGGGCTTTGGGGGGGTAAGGAAGCAGAAGCAGATCAGGAGTGGTTCTCCTACCCAAAAGAGAAGAGCCTGAAGGAGTCTAGAGATAGGGGCAGGGAGGCTCTGGAAGAAAATTGTGGAAGAAGCCAGACCCAATCTCTCCTTTGACAAAAGCCGGAGCCAAAAAGGAAAGTGAGTCGTACAGATCCTGTGTTTATTTTAAAATAGGCTTTTTTGTTCATCATGGATTTTTTTGCATTAATTTTTATTTTTAAAAAATACTGCATTAAAATCATATATATCTTGATGGATGGATTTTGTGCCATCCCCTTAAAATGTTGCCCCCAAGGTGAGTACCTCACATTGCCTTACCCCAGTCTTGGCCCTGGGGACTAAGCTGTAGTTGGAGGAAGGCGGTTAGATCTGGGGTGGGAGGTCGTGGGGGAGACACTGGCAGAAGGGAGGGGGAGACACCAAAAGACCTCCTTCAACGAAGGCTTTCTTGAGTTAAAGGAGGGATAGCTTCCAGGGCCCCAGGAAGTCCCCCAGCTCAGGAGGTCCTTTTCAGTCCTTCTCCTCAAGGGTCCCCATTTCAAGGGCCTCGCACCCAGGCAGGAGGGGGTTATAAGCTGAGCAAACACAGACATCACGTTCACCAAAGAAAGGACACATGGTTTTTGCGCAAACTCGGCCTTGGGCTGCAGACAGTATCGACCTCTTGGGTCAGGGCTGCCCTGCCAAAGGGAGGAGGTGGCGGGGGAAGGAGGGCAAAGGTCCGAAGAAGACCCAGGCTCATAGCCAGTGTCACCCTCTCCTCAGCCCAGGGCTTCCTCTTCTTCCTGTCCCACTCAAGTGGCCCTGGCCAGTTCCTTCCAGGACTCTTGGACTGAGCCCTGGGTACAGATAGAAGGAAGGCGAGCAGAGGTCCTGGCTCTGCACCCCTGCCTAGCACGCTGGCGCACCCACCGCCATCAGCCCACCCGACAGTTGAGCATTGATCTAGCTCACCTTTTGGAGCAAGTACAGAGGAAAAAGAGCAGTAGGTGAAGCCTAGGTTTTTATTAGCCATGAGATCATCAAAGATGGTTCTGGAGGGATGGGGGGCTGGGTACCTAAGAAAAAAGATGGCAGGGCACAGTGGCTCACGCCTGTAATCCCAGCACTTTGGGAGGCAGAAGCGAGAGGATTGCCTGAGCCCACAGGTTCGAGACCAGCTTGGGCAACTTGTGGAGCCCTCATCACTACAATAAATTCAAAAAAATTAGCCAGGTGTGGTAGCACGCACCTATAATTCCAGCTACTTGGAAGGCTGAGGTGAAAGGATCTCCTGAGCCCAGCAGGTTGAGGCTGTGGTGGTCAGGAGCATGTCACTGGCTTCCAGGCTGGGTGACAGAGTGTGACTCCAACTAAAAAAAAAAAAAAAAAAAGA